CATAGGGCCAGGGATATAGCTCAGCGACATAAGCACCTGCCTGGCAAGCACAAGGTCCCGAGTTCAATTCCCAGTACTGGAATAAAAGCAGTATACATATAATGGGATAACTTTGAGGTAAAACTCAGATCTAAGAATAAAATTCACTTATGCATCAGGAGGGCTGCTGTGAGTTTGAGCCTAGCCTGGCATGCATAGTGAGTTTGAGGCCAGTCTCGACTCCACAGTGAGACCTTATCTCAAAAACCAAGGCCCCCTCCACCACCACCAAAATGAATAACCATCAAACACACCATAGCCACAAAGCCTGTGGGCCCAGCCTTTTTGGTACATGTGTGTTTTGACTATATCCCATCACGTAATGTTACATGTGGAACTTTTCACTTATGGCTCAGAAAGGGTCAGATTTTGGATTTCAGACTTCCAGATGAGGGATGCTCAACCTGCGTGTCTTCCCCACACTGCTGGGAATGGCTGTACTTCCCTGTTTTATCGTTCTGGGTTCCCTTTCTGGCCTGGGACCCCCCCTTGCATGTGGGCCCTGTTCCATGAGGGACCGGGAGACAGGCCTGGGGTGTTGTTTTAAGTCCCTCAGCCCACGAGTGGTGTGTAAAGTATTGCTGGAAGTGGAGGTGTTTCAAAGGCAGTGAGGAGCACAGGAGAACAAGTGATCTAATACAGAAGGTGACTTCTCGGGGAGGAAAGCCACAAGCGAGGAGGCAAACTGACCTTGAGTGGCAGCACACCTTGATGTCTTCCAAAAGACACGGGGTAACTTCTGCATGATTATTAATTCATCTTTCCAGCTTGGAATGCATCAATAATCCTTGTCAAATCAAGATGTCACCGATTCTTGCTTTGATTTGAAACATGCATTTTACACAGGAAGGGTAACGTGTTAGCATAACCAGGGTGCCAAATATGACTGGCCACATTGGAACAAGCCACATGTTAGCTCAGGCTCCTTCCAGCAAAACACCCCTCAACAGACATTTGGACACTGTTTCAGGAGAGCCCGGTCTCCGGAAGACCTGAGGTTCAGAACTGGCCTTCGAAGGATGTGTGAAGCTGTCAGAATTCTCTCCCTCCGAAGCCATTTTCTGGCTCCTGGTCTCACCGACTCCATCTACCAACATCTCCTCCCTCACCCTTCCACCCCATCCCTTCTCTAGGTCACTGGCTCAAGCGACGCTGCCCTGGAGTCCATCACCACACAGAGCCAACCACGGTGGTCTACGCAGTAAGCAGCAACATGGAGACAGCTGGCAGGGTGGCAACAAAAGACAGCGCCGTTCAGGGAAAGGAGGAGGCTGGATGCAGTCAAGGGGGAAGTTAGAGAAAGTTCTTCTGTTGTTAAAAATCAACAAGTACAATGTCGCCAGTGGAGGCCCAGATGTCCCATTAAGAAATGTCCTACTTAAACTGTCTCCAAAAGTTGGCAGCTGTCCTCGTGGGAACCAGCTGTGGGAGCAGCAGCTGCCGTGAATGAAGCCGAAGTGTCTGTCCTCATATCTGGCTTTATCTTGATCACGTCCCTCTGCCCAGGTGTGGGGAGCTTCCTGTCTCCACCAGACCCTGCGCTGTCTGCCCCACCCTGACCACACCCACTCCCCTCACTCCTATTCCAGCTACACTGTCCTCCTCACTCTATCTTGAACATGCCAGGCTTGCTGCCCCAGGGCCTTTGCATGCATGCTCTCCTCTGCCCAACACTCCTCCACTACATCCTTTGTGGCTCACTCCCTCATTTTTTCAGGTTTTTACTGCAATGTCACCTTTTCAGACAGGCCTTCCCTGGTTATGCTTTTGAAAAATGCAACCCCCAATCCCTACCCTCCACTTTCCTTCTACTGTTTTATTTTTCACTGTGTGAGTACTATGGCAGCAGGGATTTTTGCTCTTTTACACCCAGAGGCCAGCATATGGTTAGAACTATACATATCTCACAGGGTTGTTAAGCTGGTTAAAATCCCAGAAGACCACAGGGCATCTACTAAGAACTGTACGATATGTGCTAATATTTTTATTTGGCCTTGAACTTCGTGGGAAATCTAATGAGCAGTTACTGTTATGCCCATCTCATAGATCAGAAGAGTGAGGCTCAGTATTTTGCCTGAAGCTCCACATTCACAGACAGTAGAGCCAGGAGGATTTCAAGCCAGATCTGATTCCATGTTGTGTGTGCCCACGGTCTCTGCTTCGGAAGCCCTGGAACAGAGGAGAGGCAGAGACCCAATCTTTCTAGAACTGGCTGTGGCCCTGTTCATGCTGCTGCCGCCCAGAGAGTGAGGAAGCGGAAACAAAGTCCCCAGTACTATTCGGGCACGCGTGCAGGCCTACAGAGTCAGGTCTGAAATGGGGGGGACATTCTGTTTGCTTCCTAACTTCACCGAAAAATGTAATTGAGCCTGCCAATTAAAAACTGTTTTCATGACCCCAGAAAATCCACAGATTGGCGACATTTACTTTAAACAGTCACTCCACCATAACAGGAAAAGAGGCAGAGCAGAGGAGTTTATTATAACAGCTGCTTTCATTCCCCAAACAAGGTTGGGCTGTTTTTGGCAGGTTGCACCATAGTGGAGTTGGCAAGAGGCTGACAGGCTGCGTGAGTTTCCTTTCAAAAGATCATTTTGCTTCCTTAAAAAAAAAAAAAGCCACGGCTGTATTAGAGCATCCAGCGTGAACTGCAGATGTCTGTCCTCTGCCTCCTGGTGCATCTGCCTACCTGGCCACGAGGCTGCATCTGCAGAGACATTGGTCAGAACCTGGTGTGCCCTTTAGAAAAGCTGCTTAACTCTCTAGCCCCAGCGTCCTTGATTTGGGGTTATCCCGAGGACGACCAGGGCCGGGTCCTGTGGGCAGCTGTTGTCATGGTGTGGTCACCATAAGGACTTCAAGAGGCCAAATCCCGGCTCCTTCCAAGTGCTCTCCTGAGTCTACAAACCTCACACTGCCAAGGATGCAAAGTGCAGCCCCCCGAAAAGAAACTCAGCATCCTCTTCCCTACAAACCTACAAAGTGGGTAAGAAATGGCACAAGGACAGCTGTCAGACCCCCCCCATGTCACTGCCCTTGGGGATGGGTCCCAAGCACGGAGGAGGCGCCTGGAGGGCAGGGCTTCCCTGGGTTTAAACTGGAAATCACACAGGAAGTGAGGGCTCGTGGCTGCTGGGAGCTGTGCCTCCTCGGTAAAATCCCATGCTCAGCAAACGCCTGCAACCATTTCAGTGCTAATGGTTTCCAGATGGCAGAAGAGTGAGACCAGCACAGGATAGACCCAGGCTTTGATGCCCATCAGCCCGGCTGCTGAACCCACATGGATTAGGCCTGGCGCTGGGCACCTCAGGAATGAGCAGGCCCCCAATGCCACCCCCCCCCCCCGGCCATGCTAGCCCCTCAGTGTCCAGCTCTGGGCAGCATAGGCCTCGCTGCTCAAAGGAGAACCTCCACAGCATTGGGATTTTGGACTGTGGCTAAGGAAACCCTTGGCCATTGCTGACAATTTTGAAAATCTATTGTGATTTTTTCAAAAGCTTTTACATCCTCTGTCTATTCAGAGCCTCAGTTTGGAGCCCTTGCTTTCCAAAGACAGATAGGGAAGCAGGAGGACATGGCTTCCAAGGCTAGCTGGGCTCCTAAGCAGCCACTCTCTTAGGGAGGAGTGGGTGGAGAGGAGGGGGTGGGGCCAGCATGCCTTCCTGCTAAGGGCTGGGGCCCGGGCAGCTCAGAGCTAACACATCCCATGTCCCAAACACTTGCTCAACTAAAAGGAGAAGGTGGAACTGCACACATCTTCAGCCTCACTGATGCTGAAGGGTGATATTCCAAATATCTGATTATGGGATCCATAATCAGAAGGGGTACTCCAGACTATGCCCCAGCAGAATCCAGCCTGCCGGAATCCCAGCAAAGACATTAAAAACACACAGAGCAATTATTAGTGGGTGGAAGATCCCGGAGCAGCCAACACACTTTCCACTGCTGACGCAAAGCTTCCGCTGCCTGGAGCTTTTCCTGGAGGGTACCCTGCTCTCTGAGGGCCAGGTTGAACCAGGCTGAAGAGACATCAGAAGCCCAAGTTGTGAATTAAAAACAAAAAGGGGTTATCAATAAAAGTAGACAGATGAGTGTCTATTTTAGGTTATTCCACTGTCTAAGGAAAGTGGCTGCAAGGACGGCGCCAGCGCTTGGAGAGTATTCCTCCATCTGCGTGAAGGGGGTAAAACCCCACGGGTACTGCTTCTGAATCGAAAGAGACTCAGCTGCCACTTGTCCTTTGGCTGGAGGCCAACAAGTCCTGCACGGTTTCACAAGGTGACGCACTGCATCCCAGTTTATCCTTCCTTCTCCTTTCCATGTCTGTGCTCTCACCCTCTCGATTCTCACCTGTCTGTCCCTTCTTCCCCCACATGCCTGCTGTCCTGCTCTCAGCAGCTAGCCCCTGTTCTCAGCTCTGATGATTCCTCTTGGTTCTGTCCTGCCAACAGGAACTTTACGCGCAAGATCTTTACTTGCACAGGTTTCAAGTAATCCTGCACACCTTGGTTATGTGGAGTGGGGCGTGGTAGATAGATGTGCGCGTTGGATGGCTTCCCACAAGCCTGCCTCCCCTGACACACTGTTTGATAGACAAGTGCAGGATGGATCGTTTAACCTTCCTATCATGACACTTGAACTTTATTAGAAGAGGTTTAAGTAAGCAGAAGTGTTCTAACCCAGATCCATGCATCCTGAAATTTTGGAAAAGTGAAGGAAACAAAACCACAGCGGGAAAAAGGCCGGGGGGTGGGGACACAGGAAGAAAGAAGAGCAGACCCAATCTCAGACTGATGACCGGGTATTTGGGTCAGAGCTCAAGGTACCAGAATTGGGTCTTAATAGCTCACGAAGTCATGGCCCCTCCGTGCATCTGCTGTGTATGCAATTTAGGGGGCGTGGTCTCATTCCAAGGGGGCTCGTGGATCTGCACGCACAGTGGTCCCACAGAGGATGTGGAGTGGCCCGGTCAGGAAGATGGCATGCACAGGTCAGGCATGCAGCAGCAGGAGACCATTCATCAGCCCAATACGGGAGCTGCCAGGGGCAGCGCGCAGGATGAGAGCCAGCTGCTAGCTCTGCTTCCAAGACCAGACTGAGAAGGCAACAAAGCCCAAACCACAAAGGAGAACATGAAGCTGGATTTGAAGAGGAGAAAGCAAAGATTTCTACCCAGAGCTGAGGTAAGAGTTTTATTCTCTCCCCCTGCTCCCCCCACCCCCGCCCCCAGCAATGAAGAAAGAATACTACTTCCCTCCAATTTGGAGTATTTTTAGCACATATGCCTCAGCGTTGCTACCTAACATGTCTGGCTGTGTCTTTTATTCGGCCTAGGTGTTTTCAGTGTCCCACTGCCTAGAGCATGTGACAGAGCCCCATAGGAGGCACAGAAGGCCTTCGGAGGGACCCTCCTTGTCCCCACCGCTTCTTCTTCCTGCAGCCCTCGGCTTGGGCATGGAGAGCTTGGAGCTTCTGGCCCCGCACACCTGCCTGGCCGGGCTGCATTCTGCCTCCACAGTCCATCCCAACACCCTGATCTCCGAAGCCTGACTGCTGAGGGACTCCCTCTTCTACAAGCCACCCCTTGGGCTACTTATCTTATGGTAATCAAGACTGAAATTTCACAGGAAGTTCTCCAAATGTGTGTCGACTATGAAAGTAGCATGTATTTGAATTCTGTGTGCATAATCACACACATGCATACATGCACCCATACAAGCGCATGTACCATCACCACTTCCTGCACCTGTGGGCTTCTGGGTTCACCTTAGGCCATCTGCCTTAAGATTTCTAACTAGGGACCTGGCAGTGAGATGGATGCAGTGAAACAGTGAGCTGTAGATCAGAAAATAAGTTTGAAACTTGGAAATGGGTCCCAGTGCTCAGAGGTTTCCTCTGCATGGGTCTTCAACTCAGATGAGCTACACAACTACAGGGGCCTCACGTACACACTCCTCTCGGCCCCTCCAGCTTCGCGGGCAACTGGCCCCGGCTAAGTGGCTTATCTGAAGAGTCAAATCTTATTTTCATTTTGAATTGACTCTTTCTCCCAAAACACTGCAGAATGTGAAAGATGCTGGGGAAAAAGTTGAGCCTTATAAATGTCAAAGCCAGTGAACGAAATAGAGGAAGACAGGTGAGTGCAGAAAAGGACTGCGTCTGCGCTGCAGAGCGTGCACAGAGCTGCAAGAGCAGGTATGGCCACAGGAGAGGGTCTGGGAGCAGTCAGCTGTACTGAGGCATAACTCTGTTCCCAAAACCCAGTTTTCAGGCAGTGTGGCATGAAGCTGGCAGGCGGAGAGAAGAGGGCTCTGAATCTGGCACAGTTTGTATTTCATTAACACAGCTTATCTCTTATCAGGAGAACAACTGCTAGGTTTAAGAATGCTGAGGACTGATTATTGAGGCAGGTGCCACAAGCCCATAGTTCTGTGGGCTCCTAGAGACCTAAGAAAGTTCCTGCCACCCAGGGAGTGACAAAAGCTCTCTCAGTAACTGGGATTGCATTGCTAGAGTGATCCGCAACACATCAGTGATGGAGTTGGAACAGTATTTCTATTATCACATACCATGTACATTGTGGGTTAAATAGGCTTTGCAGATGGCCAGAAGCTGTGATCGTTGGCTAAAAAGATGTTATTCTAGGGCAAAACATATCTTTAAATAACCAAAATCTGACTTACAAATCACCTTTCCTGTTGTAAGCTAGGGACTACCATGTAAATCACTGATATGCCTCCCAGGCAGGCCTTGTGCCACTGAGCTATGTCCCTGGCCCAAGGGTTTCCTCTTCACTCATTTTAAAATCCAATTCCCCTTTTGGGGTGTCTGCCTTCACACAGAAAGCATGAATCCTGGTCTCCACCTCCATGCTGCCTGCTTTGCAAGGAAGGACAGTCTCCGCCGCATGGAGATCCCTGCAGAGAAGCTTTCAGTATTGTCTGTGGGCCAGCGAGTCTAACTCTGGATCCAGCATTGGGATGTACACTACTGCAGTGATTGTTTGGCCTTTATCACACTATAGGGGTTTTTAAAATAAGAAAGTAATTGCCAAAATATAAGGTGGGACGATGGCTTTGCAGCAACATTAATGGAAAGACTTAGGAGCTGAAGTGAGCTGAGCTAGAGGCCTGTGGTTAAAAAGTAACATGATATCCAGGCTCAGGGGTGCGAACCTGTAATCCTCGCATTCAGGAGGCTGAGGCAGGAGGATCACCCTGAGTTCAAGGACAGCTTGGACTACACAGGAAGACGCAATCTCAAAAGCCAAAAAAGGAAAGTAACATAATTAAGGAGGGAGGGAGTGGATGCATGTCCCTCCTTACCCTAACTCTCTGAATGACTCATCAGTGCAGTGGTGTATGCACCTGTACACTTGGCACCTGGGAGACTAAGATGGAAGAATCACTTGATTCCAGGAGTTCAAGGTCTGCCTGGGCAACACTGTGGCACACACACACACACACACACAGACACACACACACACACAGGTATGTACACACATGCATGCGCACCTATGTACCCACAGGGGCACGCATATACAAATTCATACACAAATCACCACCAACAAAACACTTACTGAAAGCATAATAAAACATACACCATAAAAATATAAGCAGAATTATTCTAGCTGTGAAATTTAGGATTATATTGGTCTTGTATCAACATAAAAGAAAATCAAAGGTACAAACTAAAAACTAAGAAATAAAAACAAGTTCCAGCTCCCAGATAGATCAACTCATGCAATGACAGACAGTGCTCCCCCTAAGCCTGGCCCAGGCCCCAGCCCCAGCCCCAGTCCCAGCCCGCCTCCCATTCCTCCCTTGCAGCCATCAGTGCCTCCACTGATTAGTATGGAACCCAGACTGGACTTCCCAGCGATGCTTCAGTGACAGACACGGAAAACTTCAGGGCGCTGAGGGCCGATCTCTGCACATGGGCCAAGCAGGCCCCAGGTGAGTCCAGGATATAGTCAAGGTCAAGGCGGGCCAACCAGCTGCCCCTTCCCTGGGACATGGGACCACTGTAGACCACAAACCTGAGGAAGACTGGGGAAGGAGAGAGAGAAAGGCAGAAACAGAGACAGAGAGGGGCAGAGATAAAGACAGACAGACACAGAGACACAGAGACAAGGCGGTTTTGAAGGAGTACAACCAGCATAGCAGGGGTCCAGCGTCTGCCATGAGGATGGCCAGCAAAGATCTCAGGGCAATGGAGGGGGAGGGGATGTAGCCCTTACCTATGAATACTTAAAGGACCTTGTTTGTTTTCCCTGCATTGCCACCAAAGGCTGGGAACTAGAGAGACCTAAATTTCAGCCCAAGCTAAGAAAGTTTTTCTCCCTGCAGCTTATCAGGACTTGGAAGACCTTGATCTCATCAAATTCTAGATACAGAAACTCATATTCCCCCAGCAAGGGCTGGGCCACCTCAGTGGGTTAGGCTAGAGCTGGGGCTTTACAGCAGGGCAGCAGCTGCTCCCTAACACCGTGGCCATGGAGAGCACCTGGGCCAGGCCCCTCAGTGGCCAGCTCTGGGGTCTTCAGCCTTCCAAGTCGGCCTGCTTGGTCTCCGAAAGCCCCACCCCAGAGGAGAGCCTTCTTACAAAGATATCTCACTGAGAGCACAGTGAAGCTCCACTGGGCAGGGGCTCTGTAAGGAGGTCAGGCATCGACATGGGGACTCAGGCTCGGTGACCTTTACGGTCCCACTGCACCCCCATTCCAGGTGTCTTTGATTCCAAGGGCTCAATGGTTAGTAATGGACTAATTACCAAATTTGCAGAATGAAGGAAAAGAATTTTGTTTAATCCAGGGGAACAAATCCATCATAAATCTTACCAAATGGGTAAACACAACTGGGCAGGGACATAGGAATAGACCCAAGAAAACAAAATGGCCCAGAGTTTTGCCACACTGTACAGTTCATTAGCACAATTCAACACACAGCAATAAAAAGCAGTCACAGTAGAGGGCCTGGCTGCCGCCGCCCCAGGAGGCTATCTGCTGATTTCAGAAGGCGGGCAGTCAGGGGGAGACTCCTGCTGTAGATATGGTTGTCCAAGTTAATTATCCCTATGCTTTCAGATGAAGTGAATGGTATTCTGTTTATCTAGGTCAAATATTTGCAGCTGACTCTATCCCTTGACAGTCATACAAAAGTACCTAATGTTGTCCTTTTGGGCATTAGAAGAAAAGATCAGGTCAAAAAACCCACAAAATACAGCACCCTTCTTTTATAGGCATCACATAGTACTCTTATTTCTAAGATACTCTAATTAGAACCAACTCTGAATGAAATAGTTTTTAAAGCGGGTGTTTTTTAGAAAGATACAAAGAAAAGAAATTTTAGTGGCCAATTATCCCTGTTTCTTGCTTTATGTTATGTTTTGTCTTGAGTTTATAGGATACATTTCCACACAGAGATAATGAAATCTGGCTTCTGGCCCCTGCAACCATTCCTAAAACAATAAATACCGCCATGCAGGGTTAACAGCATGGTGTGATCCATCATACAAGACCCGTAAAGTGCTGCTAGTGGTGACCAGAACAAAGAGAGACACCCGCATGAAGAAACTTTATATGCCACAATGTATCTGGCACAGCTGAGGGTGAGCATGTGACTTAATCTATAAAATAAAATCTTTAGGCGAGTAAGGTGCTTCTCAATGGCATGCACCAGATGTCCTTTAAAGGTGGTCTCATTTTAGGTCAAAATGAGTTGGACCCCACTCGGGAGAGGCAGGGTAGATGAACCTGTCTGGAAGCAAGTTAGGATTACCAGGGACTCTGATGAGGAGGGCAGGAGAGGAATGAAGCCATCAGGAAACTGCAGGAGCACTGAGCCTTTAGGGCAGGGGTGGCGAACCTACAGCACAAGTGCCACAACCAGCTGTTTGGCATCAATGAAAGATCTGAATGGCTTGCCATGGCTGACTTAGAGCTCGGTACAAACTTCTCTTAGCCAACGTCCCTTTCTGCCACCTATTCTGTACTAACTAGAGCCAGTGTAGCCAACTACGCAGACCACTTGCACGCACCAATGAATCAGAATTCCCTGGTGACCAAGGCCCCCAGGTGATGCTGTGCCCCGCAGAAGCTGGAGAAGCACTGGCCCAAGAGACGCTGAAGTCTCTGAGCTCTCATTTTACACACAAAAAGTTGAGGCTCACAGTAGTCAGGTGACTTGCTCAAAGCTGCACCATTAACTCTTAACAGCCAGATGGCAAACAAACACTCCTTGATGTTTCACCTGGAAAAACACAGTAGTGGTGAAGAACAGGGCCAGGAAGCCAGGAGAACTGGATTTGGAAGCTCTCTGTGGAAGCTACGACAGTTATATTCCACGAGTAGTGTAACGTGATGATTCAAGCTTACATAGAGAAATGCCTGAAGTGCTGGCAAAATGTGATTTCCCGTATTTCCCACCTTCTAGGTGCTCACAGGTGCTGGGAGAGGCCAGGTGCACACCAGCTCGGGGTAAGGGCTTGTCCCTCCGAGTCTTGTTGGGTGGAGAATGCAGACTGCCACCACCTCCCTCAAGGGTGGAGCTCCAGGCTGCATCCCGAGAGCTTTAGGGCTGTGGACCGTGGCTTATATAGATCCCTTGATGGCTCCAGCCCTGTTTTCTAACACGGCGACATGCTCACTTTTGGCAGGTTAATTGGCAGAGTTGTCAGCACAGCTGCCTTTTGTTGCCAATAAACTTGGGTCCCTGAGAGCTATGGCTTTAATTATTTGTTATTTCTTTTTCCAAGAGGGATAAAGTATGTCCTGCTTTAAAAAAAAAAAAAAAAAGCACCGTCTCTTGCATCAAGACAAGAAACTGAAGAATTCATGGAGGAATTCACCACAGAGCAGAGACTAGCAGTGTCACAACCGTGCCCACCGGCCTCTGCCTGATTGTGTTCTGTCTCCCTCCACACTTCTTGGCAAAAATCTCACTTCTCTCAGTGGCAGAGAATTAGGGTTAGAGTTAGAATTACTTGCTTCCACTCTGAGTCTCATGATAAAATCTCCAGTGGTGAAATATTGTGATTCTTCCCTTGCTCCACTATAGAAATGTCTGAAGGCTTCGGGGGCCTGGGTGCAATCCTGGGTGACATTTTTCCTGTGCTGCATTTGAGGACTATCTAATCTCTCATTGCACCAACTAAGACAACTGCAGACACACAGCTTTTAAAAACAGAATGTGGTCTAGGAAAATCCAAGGACCTCTGTCAACAGATCAGAATTAGAGGGGAAAACATTCTGATAGGTATAATCACTATTCAGGTTTTTTGTTTGTTTGTTTTGGCACCAGGGATTGAACTCATGACCTCATGCTTGCCAGGCAGGCACTTACACTGCTGAGCTAAATCCCTGGCCCACTACTCAGTTTTTTTAAAGCTTCACCATCTTGTTGGGTTTATTAGAGCACTTTTCCTTACATGGGACAAAATCAGTAGTACATGAAATAAAATTCTGCTCACCTTACTTCTTATACTACCAAGAAATATTCACTTCAGCTGATTATTAGTTCTTTCTAATATTTGGAATTGAGGGAAGTAGAGGAATATTTAATCCATGGGAAACACAAAGATCTGTTTTAGTCAATAATCGCAGCATCTTTCCCACAAGAGTTCACTGGATTGGCCAACAGGCAGACAGATGTAAGTTTCACCTTTCTTCTAGCCCAGAGGCTAATAAAAAGTGTAAAAACAGTCCCCCTGGACAGCAGGAGGCATATGGGGGGACAAAAAGAACTTGGTAGCAGGCCTCATACATAATTGATTCTTGAAAAAAATTCAAGCTTAAATAACAATTTTGAAGGCTGTTAGTCGCTCTCAGCTTCCACTATGGCAAAACATAGTCAACTACTGATTATACTGTTGTATTATAGCAAAACATTACCTCACTTTACGTAGAGCCCTTGAAAAACTAAACTACATTAATGTTCTAATCAGCGTTTTCTGAGTAACCTCGAGCTAACTCTGCCTAACTGGATCACCGCGGTGGCAGTTAGTCTTAATTAACATAGGGCCACTGTTATAGCACACACAATGGCTTGAGAGAAAGAGGTGACATCAACCAGGGCCTCTTAGAGAGATCCTCTCACCCTTGTTTCTGACTGTGCGCAGGTGATATGCAGCCACAGTGCCATTTCACAGAGGGGCTCAGTGCCTGTGGGGGTCCTGAGATGAACCCCTTGCCGGTGCCAAGGGACCACTGTGCGTCCGTTTCTCTCAGAGGCCCAGAGCACGGGGCAGAACACGCAGCAATTCGAAAGGGAAGGGACAGTGCTCTCTATGCTAAAATGCAGCTGTAGGATCTGTATCTAACAGCAGCTCCTTTCATCCATCCTTACCTCCCTAACGCCTTGAGAGAGCGAGGCTTACTCGGTGCCACCCGGACTCCAGGCTGAAAGGCGCGGTTGGAACTTGGCACAGCACCTCTAAGAAGGGAGCGCGGGATCTGAGTCACACTCACAGACTGGGCCGTGGAGGGGGGTCCACAAGCCTCATCTCCACTGTCTGATCGTTTGCTAAAGCCAAAGATAAGGTCCTCCTGGAAGTTCTGTCTTTCATATTAAAAGCACCAGGAAACAGCAGCAAAGTTCCGAGCTGAAACACTGCTCACCCATTTCTCAGGTGCTGCCTCAGTTCCACAGTGCCTCACCAGGGGTAGGGGTCTCTGCTGCCCCACTCCCATCTGCCCTCCTAAGCTCAGGACGCCCTCCCTATAATTCAGCTGGGAGTCGCTCCACAACCTGAGAGCTGCTTGCTGTGGAAGCAGAGCCATTCCAAGCCTCTCCCAAGGTCAGACTTCACAGCAAACTTGAGTTAGATTGTTTCAAAGTAGAAACTACAGTCTGGGACTTGGATCTGTGATGTTCCTTGTGCCATCTCAATGCACTAAGAACCACTCAGCAAATGATTCTCTTCTGTGCTAAGAGGCAGTGATAGCAGAAGTATCTATCTGCGAGGTGCTATCATCCCGAAGGGAACAGGCTCTGTTTTCCTAACAGCAGGGTCTCAGGAGACCCTGGAACTAAACACTCTGGGCCTACTTAACTGGAGCAGACACTGTCTCTTTGTTCCTGAGGCAGCAGCCAGCAGTAGTCAGGGAGCAACCACACAGTGGCTGTGGGCAGCTATAAGCCCAGAGGGAACTTGTTCCACTCTGCATGGGTGGGAAGGGATTCTGCTAAATCAGATTGACCCCATCCTCCTGCCTCAGCCTTCTAAGTAGCCAGGACCAAAGGTTCATGCCAGAGCACCCTGCTACTTTTAACTTGAATTTCTGGCCTTGTTACAAGGCCATTCCTAAACAATGGGTTTTCCGTACCAAAAAGCTCTGGTTTGGCTGTTCCCATTACCTTAACACACACTTAACTCCTAACAATTTAGGGGACCAAGGGGGAGAGCTATTCGATGTGTAGCTACTTGCATCACGTAGTGCTGGTCTTCATTAATCCCCCACGTTTTCAGCTGACTTAGGAGTGGGAGCAACTGCAGCTGGAATGGGACAGGCAGAACTGCGTGAGCCCAAAGAGGAAAGGCAGCTCCGAGGTATTTTACCTGGTCTGGCTGGGGAGGGGGCCGCTTTTGGAAACCTTGGCAAATAACTGCATCAAGGTGTCTCATCTCAGTGGAAACACGCTGCGATGCCTTCAGGGTTGCAGCAGCCCCCCCCCCCATGCCCGCCCCCGACTGCTGGGGCTGGGATCTTCCCCAGCTACACACTGGAGGGGAGGTGGCTGGCCATATTGAACACAGCTAGTGTTCTGGTCATCACTCCTTTTGCTGACTGGGAAAAGGGCCCCGATTCTGGGACACTGATTTACAACTTAGTGCATACTGATAGCAGCCATATCAATGTCGGGATTTCCTCCAATGAGGTACTTTCAGGTGGACTCAAGAAAAAAAAATTTAAACTCATCAGTTCTCCACAGCATATCAAGAAGTAACTCAGCCAGGTGGAGTGGCACGCCCTGTAACCCCAGCACAGAGGAGGCTGAGGTGGGGGACTGCTGCATGTTCAAGGCCAGCTTGGGCTACAAAGTGAGTTCAAGCCTAGCCTGAACTGTACTACCAGACTCTCGTCCAAAAAGGCCCCCTTCCCTTCAAAAATAAACGGTTACATAACAATGTGGGATTTGTTCCTGGTGTTATGCAAAATTGACACTTTTTTTGGTGACTACCACAGCCTTCTGAATCAAAAACAAATACACGCGTGAATATAGGTTTATGACTTCCGGAATTGGTTTTCGCTTCAAACAATTACTTCCGTTAGTAAGAAAATGGGCCCAGATCCCAAAAAATGCTCAGCCCACAGCTTTACTTCTGAAATATGAGAGCTTCTGTCAGTCTAGTGTTCAAAGCAAGAAGAAAGCTGCCTGGCCAGGGAGTGGAGTTTATGTAACTGGTCCCAGTGCCCGGTCACTTTGAGTTGGGTCACTGTTAGTCCATGAAGACCAATTGCTTCTCTTCCATAATTAAACAGCTTTGGAAATTACTCTTTTCTTTGTTACATAACCTAGGGTTCAAATTCTTTTGTTCTTGAGGTCTCTGACAATGAATAGAAGTTCAAATTCGCTGTCTGCTGTCTGGTACTTTTTGAGATACCCACTGTAAGAAATAATCTTCATGGATGATTGCCTCACAGATACAAGGAACATTTATTTCTTTGTTTTTGTTTTTTGTGTTGTTTTGTCTTTTTCTTTTTTATCAGTACTGGGGATCGAACTCATGACCACGCACTTGCAAGGCAGGCGCTTATGCTGCTGAGCTAAATCCCCAGCCCTGACATCCATTTCTTTGGATATCCTAACTTGTATCCACACAGCAAACCAGACCATCAAAAAGTGGCTGGTGTAGGCTGAACTGGCCCTGTGTAGAATTGTTACTGAGTTACGCTTTGGCAGTGTGCCACCAACTTGCACTGAGGGATGTTATAAGAAACAGTCCTATACAAATTGCTAGCAGGGGGTTACTCTTCAAGATATTTCCCTGTATCCCACATGCAGCCTCTGACAGGGAAGTTTTCCTAGACTGCAGTTCTAGCAGAAGTCTCTTCCTCTTGAGCAAATGACTTTTCTCATGCAGACACCGTAAATTTCGTATCTCCATTTTGGCTTTTGCACAGGGACCTCTCAACGGTTCACAATTCAGTTGTGTCATGAAAGCAAGAGAGTCACAGCCTCTGTAGTTCTGATCATAGCACTTCAGGCCCTCTCGTCCCACTTTTAGGGGCCTCCATGTGACTGTATCCCCAGGTATCTATAGGACTGGGAGGGCTCAGGAGAAGAGTGCACTGGCTCAGCCAGAGAGCACTCGCATTCTTGAGTTTCTGACTGCCTTTTTAAACCATGAAAACATAGATAATAATCCTTCCCAGAAAAATGCAAGGTTAAAAGTTTAATCTGAGTTCGCAGCACATGCATTCCAAGAGGGTACTGTACTTGGGGAAATTACTCACCTAGAGTTTATATAAGTTCCAAGGCGATTAGAGTCAGCCAGCAAATTGGAGCCAGAACACGTTTACATTTAAGGCTTAAAATGCAGATTTCTCTTAAGGAAAGAAAGAAAGGGGGAAGGACTCACCAGGGCCCCCATGTTTCTCCTTAAGGGAGCAGGCTCCACCAAGCGTCAGGCTAATGTCTCAGAGTGTGGAAGGTGCCAATCCCAGATTCCCTGTCTGTCGCTCTTGAAAAGCGCATGTCACATCTGCTTGCTAT